CTTTCTTACTGTAAGGGTGATCAAACACTGAAAGAGGTTGCTCAGAGAGGTTGTATAGTCTCCCTCCTTGGATGTACTCAAAATCCAACTGGACACAGTCCTAGGCAACCTGCTGGAGCTGAGCCTGCTTTGAGCAGGGGGAGAGGAGTGGATGATCTCCAGAGGACCTTTTCCAGCTCAACTGTTCAAGTCTTAAAGTGACAATACAAACATGAAGATTCTTACCAAGTCACAGTAGGACTACTGGAATACCTCAAACTGAGAATGTGTTAATAAAATCTGGACCAAAATGTACATTCTGAATCCCAATTCTTCCTTGCTTTGTATCAATATGTGATTTTTTAAAAAAAAATTTTTAGTGGATAGGTTTGTCTTAGTTTGGATGAGGTGATACAAAGGGTCCTCCTTTGAATTTGATCATTCCCCCTCCCGTCAGCGTACACCTGTGTTGTGACTTCTAGCCTTCAAAAGTTGCCTTAAAGTCTTGCCTCGTACCACCCTCTTGTATGGAACAGTAGGTACTTTAGTAACTCTCTCCAAGTAGATGAAATATTTTCATCTTTACTATGTAGGTGGCATGCTTGTTGCTTTTGTTTTGCCGTGGAAGTCATGCCTGCTTAAATACTGTTGTACTTTTGCATGAATAATGGGCTTGATTTGCCTTGTAGAAGAACCTGAGGGCAGGGAGACTGTGATACTCTGGAAGACTCTCCCAGAGAGGTTTTGTGAGTTCTGGAAAGCATGTTTCACCATGTGATAGAGATGCAAGTCATTCCACTTTACTTGGAATTTTCAAAGGTTCTCAAGTCTTAGTTTTTTGGTTCACAAACCTTTCCAAGTTCAAGGACCTCTTATTTGAAACCTGTAAGAGTTCTAGAAGGTATGTGCTTGAAACAGTGCCCTTTGTCAGCATACTGCTTCCTGTGCCTATCTGATCTGCGCCAACTCCCGGTGTTGTTGATGCTGCTGTTACTTCTTTGCAGTAAGATGACCGAATTTGCAATTTCGTAATTTACAGCTACTGCACTAAGTTGGAGTGGGTTCTTTTTGTATCAACAGCTTCCAGCAATTCTGGAGCTTCACAGAGTTGTTTGCCTTAATCCGGCTAATGGCAGTAGTGTGACCTCAGGATCGTCATATCTAAGAAGATGAAAACAGTCATGGAGCATTTTGTCTTGAAGATGGCTCTGAATTCCTTGAGGAGTTTAAGGAAATTCCTTATCCTCTCTCTTCCTAAGAAGATAAAAGCCCTAAACATAAATGTCAGAGAAGCAATCCTTTGATTATTTTGTTGTTATTCCTCCCTGCCCCTCCATCAGTATAGCTCATTACCTGTTGAATGTTTAAATCCTCCTTCGAGGAGATTATAGGTAGACTGTTTTTGAGTATGTTCAAGCATGCTGTCAGTCAACAGAGGAGTTGCTTGTATTTAATGATTTTACTCAACTTTCAGTCATGTTTCTGGTCGGGTTATATTCTGTGTTGAAATAGAGAACTCCTTTAGCTAGCTATGGGTGGATTTGACAGCTACTTGTTCAAGAGCATAAGGGCATTATTTTTTGTTGGTTGGGGTTGTTTTTTTATCCTTAGCTTTTTCCTTTTCTTGATACTTAATATCTAGTTATTTTCTACATTTGTATCTATTTGCTTTGAATCCGTGCTTGTCCTTCCTTTCTAATACGTATCTGCCATGACAGCTTAATTATTAATTCAGTTTTTAACTGAAGTTTTTTTCAAACCTGGCAGTACTGACGCTCCTAACAAGATAATTTCTAGTCCAGCACTGGCTTTGAAATTGCCCAAAGTCACTACTGTCCAATGATTCCATAGGCTCCAAATGCCTACGTCATTGCTTGCTTTCATAAGAAGCTTTTCCAGAGTCTGCTCAGTTATTAATCTGTCAGTGCTAGGCCGCTGGATACACAAGCTTTTTCTGCATTGGGTGTAGTCAAGTATGTGAATGTTCATCAGTCTTTCTGGGTACAGTGCTTTAAAAAAAGGAATTTCTCTTGCTATTGCATTGGTTTGGATTGCTAGCTGTCTCTTGTCTCCACTGCTTCAGTTCTGCCAGTTATTTAAACTAAATGTAATTAATTTTGGTATTAGACTGGGTACAGGCAATTTATTTTAGATGTTGATGACTTGAAATTTTTGTTTGAATTGTCACCTGTCAGTTTACATGGTCACTTCTTTCCTTGTGGCACTTCTTTTAGTCCAACCGACCTATTGAAACTAATGTATTAAACTGTATTTAATTGTTTTCTTTTAGTTAATGAACTTTAGAAAATGCCCTGTTATCCCCTGACTTCTCTCCAGGCATCATGCTGCAGAAATACCGTAATGGAAAAATGCAAATAATGCAGTTGCTGTAGGACAATGTGGGAAGTGTAGGGCAGACATAGCCAAGTGATTTAATGCAGCTAGCTTCTGTCCAGGATTTGAGGTGCATGCACAGCCTTAGACCTGCTGATCCTCTTGGGACGACTTTGTGACTGTTCGTCAGCTTCCCACACCTTCCTGTGATAGTTTACAACAGCTTGTATTCATGAGGTCCTAAAATCCTGGTGCATGGTAAGGTGATACCCAAGGTGCTTTTTGTTGAGCCATATCTAGCTCAGCTGTAGTTAATAAACCTGCCTGTTTGTCTGATTGTATGGCGTTACCGAAGGCCATATCCTGTTTCAGCAGTGCTGAAGCTCACAGGCTGACTCCTCATAGATCGTCTGGTTCAGTTGCTGCTATGTGAAAACATAGTTGACTTTTTCAGTTGGAACTTGCCTGCAAACAGGGCTCTTCTGCCCTTCAGAACTGTGTCCTCTGAAAGCTAGGAAATCATACAGGACAACTTTCTTTAAGTCCAGTAACAGTCCAGCCCAGTAGTTACGAAAATGAGTGGATGTGTCAAAAGACCAGATTTGCCAAACAGAGCAGTGACTGAGCTCTGGTGGGAAGGATGAGGAGAGAAGTTAGTGCCTGTGGATGTAAATGAGGCTGAGATTCTCAGTACTTTCTCTGCATTGATCTTCACAGACAAGGTCTGATGGGCCTTTGTGCCTGGAGATGGGATTGAAGGGGGAAAGAGACTGGGGGTAGTACAAGATTATTGATGGCTCTCTTGGGAAACATCAGGTTTATGGGATTAGAAGGGATGCTTCTCATGGTGCTGAGAGAGCTAGCCAATGTCATTGCAAGCCAGCTTTCTCTTTGAATAGGGGAGATCAGAGGTGGGTCTCCATGACTGGAGAAAGACACATTGCAGCTGCCTCCAGGAAGGGCAGGGAGGTTGGTGTGGGGAACTGCAGGCTGGTCAGCTGCACTTTGGTCCCTGAGAAATTGTGGAGCGAGTCTTGGGGCCTATAAGAAAGATGGGGGCAATCTTTGTTTAGCAGGGCCTGATGTGGTAGGACAAGGTGTAATAGTTTTAAACTAAAAGAGGGTAAATTTAGACTAGATATAAGGAAGAAGTTTTTTACAATGAGGATGGTGAAACACTGGAACAGGCTGCCCAGGGAGGTGGTAGAAGCCCCATCCCTGGAAGCACTCAAGGTCAGGTTGGATGGGGCTCTGAGCAACCTGATCTAGCTAAAGATATGCTTGCTTGCTGCAGGGGGGTTGGACTAAATGAACTTCAAAGGTCTCAGCCCAAACTATTGGATGATTCTATGACTTGGAAGCTATTTTTAGTCATGTGAAGGTGAAAACAGTAATTAGAATTAGCAAGCATGGATTTACCAAGGGTACTTATCAACCAGATTGTCTGCTGTGATGGAAAGACTATGTCTGTGGTTGAGGAGAGAAAAGCAGTGATGTCATCTACCTTGTCTTAAACAAAACTTTCACTGTGGTGTCCAAGAGTGTCCTTGTGTCTCATTTGAAACATTACAGTCTAGATGAGACTAACAGGTAGCTGAAAAGACAGTCTGGATTATTGAGCTCAGAGATTTGGGATGTGTCATGCTTAGTATCTTATCAGTGACCTGG